AGGAGCGGCTAGTGAGTTTGAACCGTTGACCTTGCAGTTAACAGTCCAGTGTTGATCCTACAGTGCCACGCCAGTATTAATTATATACCTATGTTGTTGTTAAGTGCCGTCGAGTCAGTTCCAATTCATAAAAAACCCCTTATACGGTTCCCAAGTAGCAGCTGGTGAGCTTGAACCACCGATCTTGCAGTTTAAACTGACCTTGCAACCCAGCGCATTAGCCCACACCACCACACCAGGACTCCTTATACATCTATATGCTGTTGTTGTTAAATGCCATCGAGTCATTTCTGACTCGTAGCAACCCTGTATAGGGTTTCCAAGGAAGCGGATGTTGAGTTTGAACTGCCAACCTTGCTAGTCAAACCGACCTAGCAGTCCAGTGTTGATCGTACAACACCACATCAGGAATTGCAAATATCTAAGACATACCTATGTATCTGTGAGTATGCATACGTACATATGTACTGTTGTTGTTAACTGCTGTTGAGTTGGTTTCAACTCATAGCGACCCTACATAGGGTTTCCGAGGAGAAGCTGGTGGGTTTGAACCACCGACCTTGTGGCTAGCAGTCCAGTGCTGATGCTACAGTGCCAAACCACAGCTCTTAACCATACATGTGGTTCTGTAGGATATTGTTGTTGGTCAGTAACGTAGAGTCGGTTCTGACTCATAGCGACCCTGCACAGGGTTTCCAAGGCTATAAATCTTTACTGGAGCAGAAAGCCTCCTCTTTCTCCCACGAAACAGCTGGTAGTTTCAAACTGCCAAACTTGAGGTTAGCAGTGCAATTCGTAACCACTACATTACCAGAGCTCCTTCTGTAGGATCTGCGTATGTGTGTGTGTGTGTGTGTGTGCATACACATATATGCATATATACACACATATGTATGTATATGTATATATACACACACAAATGCATTTATATGTATATATACACACAGACACACATATGCATATACAGACACCTATATACATATTTATACACACATATGCATATATACACACATATGCATATATACACATATATGCATATATACACACATATGTATGTATATGTATATATACACACAAATGCATTTATATGTACATATACACACATATAGGCACACATATGCATATACAGACACCTATATACATATATACACACATGCATATACATACATGTATGCATATATAAACGTGCACATGAACACTGTGTATATACACATGTATGCATATATACACATGTGTGCACATATACACATGCATATATACATATACATGCATATATATACATGCATGCATATATAGACATGCATATATGTACATATATGCATACACATATATATGTGCATATATGCACACATATCTGCATATATACACACATATACGCATATAGATACATACACCTATATGCATATAGATACACACACACATATATGAATATATATGTTGTTGTTGTTAAGTGCCATCAAGTTGGCACCAACCCATAGTGACCCTGTATAGGGTTTCCAAGGAGCAGCCGGTGAGCCTGAACCGCCGACCTTGCAGTTCAAA